AAAAAATAATGACTACTATTCTTAGAAATACTCTAAATTAAGATGTAACCAATTTTTTTACAGTTCATTTGTGCATATGAACACAAACAGGAGAACTATTGGGAACTATATGTCAGTGTGTATAGTTTTTGTTACTGATCTAGTAGCTAATTGTCTACTTTCTGTACGGGAAGCCGGTGCCTTAGGAAAGAATTGGAACAATAGTTCCAATCTTTTCAAAAACTATATTTTTTGGAAGCAGTCACTAAACCATGAAAATGAGGTCAAGGGCAAAGGACATATGACAGACGGAATCTTCGTATTATAAGTTATCTGCATACTAGGTACGAAGCATCCAGGTCTTCTACATTCTGAAATATAAAGCTTTAATCAAAAAGTTTACGCCGTTGCCCGATTGTTATCCCAGTGTCTCGGAACAAATATGTATGAGGTAAATTATATTCTAAATTCAAACGTAAAACTATTAGCAAAACATATAACGTGCAAAAAAATGGTTATACCTTTTTAACAAATTCTTCGATGCGATACTAAAACATCGATTTCGTTTAGAAGAAATTATCATGATTACAAATACGTGACTGTAGCATAAAAACATATCTGACGACCTCTTTGGACCTTTAGTCCAAGACAACTTCCTGTTGAGGTCAAGTGTTGTCAAAATAAAGAACATCAGTATTGAGCCGCAGCGGTTAAAGTTTAGAAAGAGAATATTTGGAAATTATGATAGTTTATGAACCAATTTTTCAAGACAAATAAAAGTCACAAAAATTCTTTGGTTGAAGTCTTTACAATGGTTTATTCATGTCTCTTTTGCAAAGTTGCATGTACAATAAATTGGTTAAATTGGCCCCGATTAGCTTCAACTGGTTTGTGACGTCATGAAAGTGGTGTAACTTTAGAATTCGGATTGGAATAAATGTCCATAAGGTTTATGCTGAGTCAAACAGGTTTTGCTCTTATTCCTTAATGCCGCGCGCTTAGAGGAGAATTTAATTGCATTTATGCTAATCTTCTTTGTACATAAACATTACAAACATATCTATATTCTAATTATATAGTAGTATTCGGTGTGTAGTATATTATTTTCATTCTATTTATAACATGTTCTTGTTTGATGTTTCCTTTCTACTTACTTTTGAATTTAGTTCAATCGTCGACTTGCAAATGGCCGAAACGTAACAAAATATTTAGCCCGAATGTTACACCAATTCGTCCTAGCGTGATTCTCCCGTTTGATATCATTGATAAATTTAATTTTCAAATTGCTGTTCCCAGATTATCAAGGGACAAAGAAAGATTATTTTTTAAACTAAGACTAAGGTATATTGGACTAAATAGCAACCTTATCAAAATTGGAATACATACGTCTACTCTTTGCACAAACTGCAGTCAGATTAGAACACTATATGTTTTCTTTTGATTCAGACGGAATATTTTTTGCTAAACTAAAAAAGTTAAATGTAACAGATTTTACACTGAAAGGTTAAATAACAGGCTATAATTTTTCTCTTATTCTTAACATCTAATGAATACAAAGAGACTAACTTATGCCAACAAATGGTATCAGTACTGCATATTTGTTTTATATTTTATCTAATTAAATCAGAAGGGGTAAACCTCTACTTGAAATAGTTTATATTCTGTCCCTGAAAAAAAAACCAAACTGAAAATTTGACATATGACAACTTTTGTATTTTGTGTCATTTTTATTTAATAAAAACTAGAGGTTAATATATATAACGAAAAATTTAATGTTAGCCCCTTGACAAAAAATATTGTAATTGTTAATGCATAATTTTATGTTAAAGATTTTTTTTATCTTTAATATGTTTTCCTACATCATTTACTATTGGTATATGATGTTTTAATATTTTATAATGTTTGCATCGTGTATATTGTTGTATAGTTTGCCTTCAACCCCCCTTGGAATTAGGTATTGACAATTCATTTGGAAACTCAACATATACCCTCACGACACTTACCAAAGAGAAAATCGTGGATAATCATAGGTCTGTTCTATGTTCCTTTGGAATTTCAACCAAAGATGGAGAACTGGATCTTCCATCACTGTATTGGATACCTAAACTACATAAGTGTCCTTACAAACAACGGTATATTGCTGGGTACCAAGTGCTCCACGAAACCTCTTTCTAAATTATCAACATCTATTTTATCAGCAATCAAAGCCGGGCTCCAAAGTTATTGTGAAACTGCCTATTCTAGAGGTGGCGTGAATCAGATGTGGATACTAAAAAATCCCAAAGATCTTTTAGAGTACATACAATCTAAGACTCTCTCATCTTGCAATAGTTTTAAAACATTTGACTTTTCTACACTTTACACACGTATTCCCCATTCCAAACTAAAAGACAAATTAAAAGAGATGGTATTACTTTGTTTCATTAAAAAGAATGGCAAACGTAGATACACGTATCTTGTCTTGGGGAGGGATAAATCCTACATTGTAAAGAATCACTCTGATTCAAACAAAAAATTCTCTGAAACTGACATTATCAAGATGCTTGGTTTCTTGATTGACAACATATTTGTTACGTTTGGAGGACGTGTTTTTCAACAGACTGTCGGAATTCCAATGGGAACCAATTGTGCCCCTTTTCTTGCCGACCTGTTTCTTTATCATTATGAGGCTGACTTCATACAGAAACTTTCTTTGGAAGAAAGATAAGAAGTTAGCAATATCCTTTAACTTTACGTTCCGCTAAATAGATGATGTTCTCTCACTAAATAATACAAAATTGTTGAACGAATCTATCCCATCGAACTAGAGATAAAGGATACTACAGATACAGTTAAGTCTGCCTCATATCTTGACTTACATCAATAAATTGACAACGAGGGTCGGTTGAAAACAAAACTTTACGACAAAAGAGATGATTTCAGCTTCCCAATTGTGAACTTTCCATTTCTATGTAGCAACATTCCAGCAGCGACTGCATACGGAGTATATATCTCCCAATTGATACGATATTCCCGGGCTTGTATTTCCTATCATGATTTCCTTGATAGAGGATTGCTGCTCACAAGGAAGCTATTAAACCAAGAGTTCTAAATGGTGAAGTTGAAATCATCCCTTCGTAAATTTTACGGACGCCATCACGAGTTGGTTGACCGTTATGGAATAACCGTTTCACAGATGATATCGGATATGTTCCTTATGTCGTAACTACAATACCCTTCCCTTTTCACGAATGTGACCTACCGAATTAGGTTATTTACCGGATTTGCAATAACATAAGCAACACGACGGGTGCCATATGTGGAGCAGGATCTGCTTACCCTTCCGGAGCACCTGAGATCACCCCCAATTTTTGGTAGGGTTTGTGTTGCTTAGTCTTTAGTGTTCTATGTTGTGACATCTGTACTATTATTTGTCTGTTTGTCTTTTTATTTTTGGCCATGGCGTTGTCAGTTTGTTTTCGATCTGTGAGTTTGACTGTCCCATTGGTATCTTTCGTCCCTCTTTTGGTACAAATGTGCTTTATGTGCAGATATTACATAAAGCTGCATTTACATCACCAGTTTATCCTTCTTCGATAAACATACATCAAAACGATTAGAATATAATTTTTTAAGAAATATCTATGTAGTAAAAATTGAAAATTTGACGATTTAAAGACAAATTCAAGAAAGTTTTTCGCCGATTTCATGTGCTTTCTATACAAATGGGCACCTATTCTGAAAGAATTCAATCAGTAATATTTCAGAAAAAAAAGAAATAAAGACATTATTTTTTCGATTTTCAGATACAGTTCAACGATCCAAAGATGTATGCAAAATTTTAAGAAAATCTGTGACATTGCCTATTTACTGTAACTTGACCTAGATGGAAATAAAGTAAACAACTGTAGGTTAATAGGGGATTAGTCCTAATTTGATAACTTTACACTTGTCCTGTGGGACAAACTAATATGTTGATTCTGCTTGTCCGAAGCAGGCAATCGGACACGCGGTAATGTAGAGCCCTGGATTTCTAGTACTGCAAATGTAAGCGTACTTTCATTTCGCCGTGTATTTATTCCGGGAACTGTTTTTCACTAGAGAATATTGGATGTAAATAGTGTGAAAGCGTCGATCTTGATATCGTTGTTTTGTTAATATTAGACCGGTGTATTGTTTACATAAATAAATGGGTTAAAATTAAAATGATTTTCAAGGAACCAGTTTAATTAATCTGAGTCAATCTGGTAAATATTATTGATGATGATGAGGAGGATATTTTTATAACTCAAAATACTTTTTCAATGATCAGGACATTGAACTTGATACAAACCAAATTTAAAGAGCAGATTTGTTCTTACATAAAGTTTCAATTACAGAAGCATCCTTTGATATTGACATAGAAGATATGATTTAATATCCAAGTCGACCGAAAAGCAAATACATAGAAAAACTTCGGCAATCCAATAAATATAAATATTACAATTAGTGACAATTTAAAAGCATATGATTTTATAGATTTGCATAGAAAATTATTTAAATCTCATTCGTTAATTAGCATTATTGTGTTATCGTGTGTTCAAAAATGAGTACTAATCATTTCATCAATGAATGGATCTAAAGCACTAGTGTAATTAATGCCGCTGTGTATAAAATAACTAGTGCAATCATTCTGGTACAAAATCACTAGTGTAATCATTCTTGGTTCAAAAACACTATGTGTGAACATTCCTTGGATGAAAACTCTCCACTTTTTACATAAATCAACTATGCAATTTTCAAATACACTTAAAAATATTAAGCCACATTTTATATATATTTCCCCTTCAAAAAAACCTTTTAGAACCTTATAATGACTGGTGGATGTTTTACACTGGACCCGGATAGAAAACCCTAGTGATTTTTTGTTGGTGGATAAAAATCACTGGGGATTTTCTTCCTCCGGATTAAGTACACTGGCGGAATCAAACCACTGTTACACAAACGTAGGCTCCTTAAGTATTGCTTTTATAAAGTGCGGCAAAGTTATAGTACTAAAAAGGTACACATGTAAAGTACGTATAATTCAATATATGTAAAAACAAACAAACAAACTCAAATATATTTTGATAATGTTTACTGATACCCTGATCGAGTACAACAAATTTCTCTCACGTTTTCGTACGCTACCATTTTGTCTATTACAGTTTGTGTACAAGAAACTAATAAACTCTTCCATTCTCTGTTCTGTTCGTATTGTTCTTTTTATTGATAAGCTGCATGGAGGATATATTTGGCCTTGTTATACACAGGTAGTTGTACTTTTATCACACAGTGACACGATTTGAAAAACATTTATTAGTATATTAAAATCAAACATATCTATAGATAGCTATTGAAACAAGTAAGGAATCTTGTGTATTGGGGCATGGGTTTTTTGAATATGGTTTGATCCTAAATTTCTCGAATTGATAATTTGCCATGGAAAGAAAATGAAAAAAAAAAACGTTTTTCCATATAAAAAAAGTGAAAAAATATTCAATATTGGATATAATTACTTCTGTCGTTGTTTAAAGGCGATACCAATTGATCGTCTTAAGACACAAATCATTGCCCCCTCTCATTACGAACAAAGATAAAGGATTGGTGCTTCAATTTATATGTATCACTAGTATCTTCAAAGAAATCTTTCTTGCACATGAACCTAAAATTAAGTATTTGAACCGTGTATCTTAAATGTCGGATATTAGCGGAAGCATAATGTGATAATTTGTGATCATATGTTGAAATTAAACCGCATTTTCTGTTTGACGCGTCCGACAAAAACGTTTTGCTGACTCGGTGACGATACATTTCTTCTTTACTTTCACGTGGTCTACCCGTCTTTCTAGGGTCTAGCGCATCCTTAGTTCGCCCTTGTTCAAAGATAATTTATCCAGCTGGGACTGAATATGATGTAAACTGCATTGACATCACATTATGTCAAACGCAATAACAGAATTTTCTAAGTTCTGTTTTTGTGATACATGCTGACTGGTTACCGTATGTGTTCGTTCGACTAATATCCCCTAAAACAGCAAAATGATTTTGCCCGTAACTTTCTATAGTAACCTCAAACAGAGCATTACTAGGATAAACATCAAAGGAAACTTGATATCTCTCTCGTAAATCCTCCTGTGGTTTATAAAACATATATAACAAAGGTTTCTTATTTTGATTTGAAGCATCGTAGCTGAGTTGTGAATGAATCCGTTTAGCATATTGAATTTTCTTCAGTGACAGTTTGGCACATTTTTCTTGTTGAATCTGTTTATTTATGTTTGCAGTCACATATTCTGCTAACTTTACTACAATTGGACTTTTTACGTCAACGCTATCAGAGGAATAACAGACACAATTGTGCTCATCAATACCGGCATCTGCGCATGACCGGTCGTTCGGTATCGGACGGAATAAACTTATTCCCCTTGGATACGGAACCGCAACTTCCTGTGATTTGAAGTTTTCGTTCAGTATATCGACTATCGTTTCGTATGCATCAAAAGGTGACGTTAGTCTGTTAATGTTTGTTTTCAAATTTTCATGCAAATTCGGATATGCTTCTTTTAGTTGTTGTGGAATTACTAATGAGATTAAAGGTAGCCTTTCTTCTAGTCTTCCAATCGGAGTGTTTCTGATTTTATCAACACGGGATCCATGGTCACTTAAAAAGAACAAAAATGAATTGTCCAGAAAACCTTCGGTTTTAAGGAAAGTCATTAGATCTAATAAATCATCGTCTGCCAACTTAATGAAATTAACATAGTTATGACTAAGTTTATTGTTCCATACAAGTGTGAATTTTAAGTCATCTTTGTAAGCTCGTAAAAATCTTTTAAAATAATCTATAGCAATGACATGCAATGATTTCTCCCCGTAGCACAAGTATGATGTTGAGCTTAACTTCACGTTTTTGTCCTCTAAAAACTGCAAAACATCACTAACAGGGGACTCAAACATTTGCATGTGGTTTATGGCGAGGTAAAAAGGTCGCATATAGTGATTTGTAGGAGGTTTTCGGAACCCACCTCCACCACTGGTTCCTAGATTGAAAGTTGATATTCGCGGCCAGTCTTCCAAAAACATTGTGGTTCCACCTAGTTCAGAAACGTTATGCCAAATAAAAGGGTGATTATCAAACGTTGTGTGCTCAACCACAGGAAATTCTTTGGAAAATGCATAATGTCCTGTAATTAAAGGGGCCATATTTGGCAGCGTGTTATCACCTAGTTTTGTATAGCCTTTAAACACATAAGCACCAAGATTATTTTCTAAATATGACATTGTCTTCGGAAGTTCACGTATTGCTGCAAGTCTAGACACTGAATCCATTCCGAAGATCAAAACACTGTATTTCCTCTTTGGGTTTCTTTTTTCTTTTTCTCGTGGTCGATAGACCTGATAATGTAGTCTACTGTAAACGATTTTCCCGCCAACAAAACATTTTACATTCACAAAATCTGTTCGGACAACAACAGAACTATTAAACCACACTTCGGGACCTAGTTCGATATCAAAATCATCGTTCGTCTTTCTCATAACTTCCTGGTACTGGCATGAAATGATGCTACTTTGTGCGCGCGTTTTATTCAAATGCAATGTAGAATTGAAATCAAAGTATACGAGATCACTGGCTTTTGAGCACATAATAGGATCAGGTTTCCAGAAAAATTTCATTATTTCTTTATCGTACGGATTCACTTCCGGTATGATACAGCTTGCTTGGATATTTTTGTGTACGTAAACCATATATCCAGGTCCAAAATACAAATGAAACATTGTATATACACTAAGACAAATAAAACTACACACGTAGAGAAGTCTTCTTAAAAACGTGTTTCTTCTGACTAAAGCTAGAAGGCGTTTCCGTACGACTCGACACGGGTACATTGTTGTTATAATGCAAAAATACTAACAGACACGGTTATTTAAGTTAATTGTATTCTATTCAAGTTTTTTTTTCGATTTAGTATTTACTGTCACCTCTAGGGTCCAAATCGTGTACTCGACTGAACTGTTTGATCTTCGAACAGATTTTTCCACTGATGAAAATTACCTGAAATGTAAAAAAAATATACATTGAGACGAGGTTGCAACAATTTGGTAATTTCATTCATACTTGAGTAGATATAGAAATAAGAAGACGTGGTATGAATGCCAATGCGACAACTTTCGACCAGAGACCAAAGGAGATAGAAGGTTACGACTATAGGTCACCATACGTCCTTCAACGGTGAGCAAATAAGCGAAACACATACCTAAATTAGTAAGCTATAAAAGGCCCCGAAATAACAAAAGTAAACAATTCAACGGAGAAAACTAACGGCCTGATTTATGTTCAAAATAATAAACGAAAACCAAATATGATATACAGCAACAAACGACAACACTCTCGCCTATTGTGGTGCTGTTACTATTTCTAAAAATTTCTTCATTTTGCTCGATTGTCAGATTGATACTTCAGGGCGTTGTACTCTCTCTACCCAATACAACGCAAACGTAAAATATATTAATCCCCAAATGCGCGCAAATGTAATGCGCCCAAATATTTCTATACAATTGAGCACAATAAAGAAATTTTAGAAATAGTTTTGATTATATCAAAAGACCAAAATGTCCTTTGTTTGATTATGCGTATAATCTGAATTTAGTGATCCACACACACACACACACATAATTTGATGCATATTTTTTCTCTTCCTTTTCTTCCTATCTTTTCTTTTTCTATATTGTTTGTTTAAATGTCTCTTAAATTACATGTGTTTGATTTGAATTATGTAAGAATGAATTTAAATATTTGCATGCTATGAAATTCTATTGATTGATATTTTATCTCAGTAGAAGACGATCTAAGTTGACCTCACTAGTGTCTAACCCTTTGTGTGATATTTTAAAAATAAAATATGTTTAAACTAAACAATTATCTCTCCGTTTGGAAAACAACTTAGGGCATATAATTCAGTTCTTTAAGAAAACTACAAGGTGAAGGATCTCAGTATTATTTGTAATGAGTACACTGTTTTGTCCTAAAATAGCTCCAAATAGCTAGAAATATTTCAGATAGTATAGAAAATAATATAATACAAAAGGCAAACGCCAGATTGAAGATTCTTTACAGATAAGCTAAATGCTTGGCAGATAATTCCATAGCATTTTTAATATAATAATGGCTTTCATGCAATGCCACTTCGACTATGCCTGCTCACCGTGACATATCGAGTGAATAACTCCCTCAAGTATCATCTGTAATGTTGATGGTTGTGTGTGGTATGTATCATCTGTAATGTCGATGGTTGTGTGTAGTATGTATCATCTGTAATGTTGATGGTTGTGCGTGGTATGTATCATCTGTGATGTCAATGGTTGTGTGTGGTATGTATCATCTGTAATGTTGATGGTTGTGCGTGGTATGTATCATCTGTGATGTCAATGGTTGTGTGTGGTATGTATCATCTGTGATGTCAAATGATTGTGTGTGGTATGTATCATCTGTAATGTTGATGATTGTGTGTGGTATGTATCATCTGTAATATTTATGGTTGTGTGTGGTATGTATCATCTGTACTATTTATGTTTGTGTGTGGTATAAATCATCTGTAATGTCGATGATTGTGTGTGGTATGTATCATCTGTACTATTTATGTTTGTGTGTGGTATAAATCATCTGTAATGTTGATGCTTGTGTTTGGTATTTACCATCTGTAATGTTTAATGCTGATATTTGTGTGCGTGTATCACACGTAATGTTTTATGCTGATATTGGTGTGTATGCATCACATGTAATGTTTTGCTGATATTTGAGTGTGTGTGTGTATCATATGTAATGTTTAATTCTGATATTTGTGTGTGTGTATCATATGTAATGTTTTATGCTGATGTGTGTGTGTGTCATATTTAATGTGTAATGCTGAAGTGTGTGTGTGTGTGTGTGTGTGTGTCATATGTAATGTGTAATGCTGATGTGTGTGCGTGTGTGTGTCATACGTAATGTTTAATGCTGATATGTGTGTGTGTGTGTATCATATGTAATGTTTTATGCTTATATTTGTGTGTATATCATATGTAATGTTTTATGTTGATATTTGTGTGTGTATCATCTGTAATGTTTTAGGCTGTTATTTGTGTGTGTACCATATGTTATGGTTTTGGTGATATTTGAGTATGTGTGCATCTTATGTAATTTTTAATGCTGATATTTTTGTGCGTGTTTGTGTGTATGATATGTAATGTATTATGATGATATTTGTTTGTGTGTATCACATTTAATGTTTTATGCTGATATTTGTGTGTGTCATCATGCATCAATATACAATATAATAGTCTTAGTACTGTGAAATCAACCACTTAGATTACATTGTTGTTTGCTTTATAGTGATTAAGATTATAACACAATGTTGACTGCTGTACCCCTATTTTTGACATATTTACCTGTTATGTCTGTTTTTTTTCTCACACATTGTCTTCAATATAGTGGAATTTTATGCTACTGTCATACAAGTGAGAGGTTTAGCTAGCTATAAACCAGGTTTAATCCACCATTTTCTACATAAGGAAATGCCTGTACCAAGTCAGGAATATGACAGTTGTTTTCTATTCGTTTGATGTGTTTGAGCTTTTGATTTTGCCTTTTGATAACGAACTTTCCGATTTGAATTTTCCTTGGAGTTCGGTTTTTTTGTTATTTTACTTTTTATTGATTTTGATAACTGATATATGAATAGATTTTGGAAAACTCATTTGTTCTTTATTAAGTCAAAAGTAGTTCTAAGCAATTTTTAACATGACAAAGGAAAATTGAGTTCTACATATATCTTGTTAAGAAAATACATTGATAGTAATGCTATTATCTAAAAAAACAGGGGGAAATGTTTGGCTTTATTATCAAAATGAACACTGAAAACGACGATAAAAACTCCAGTTATGAGGCCATAAGGGAGCTACCATTTGATTTTTGGGGGGCTAGGATGAAATTTGAAAAAAAGACAGGACAGGAGTTTTTAGTAAAAAAAAAGGCAGGATGAGCAACTTGGCAAAAAATGGCAGGATGACAATTTATGTAACAAAAGTCAGTATAAACTAACCCCCCTCCCCCCATAAAAATCAAATGGTAGCTCCCTAACCCCAGCTAAAATTTTCAAATCTCCAGTTGTGGCTTGACATATCTGTCACATGTATGTAATGTTTTGTGTTGATATTTGTGTCTGTATGTATTATATGTAATGTTTTACATGGATAATTGTGTGTGGATGTATCATCTGTAAATCTTTTATGTGGGCATGTATGTGTATGTATCATCTGTAATGTGTTATGCTGATATTTGTGTATGCATGTATCATCTGTAAAGTTTAAGATTGATATTTGTGTGCATGTATTATTCGTAATGTTTATGCTGATATTTGTGTTTGTGTATCATATTCAATGTTTTATGCTGATATTTGTGTGTGTGTATGTATTATCTGTAAAGGTTTATGCTGATACTTGTGTGTGTATGAATCGTCTGTTATGTTTTATACTGATACCTGTGTGTGTATGTATCATCTGTAATGTGTTATGCTGATACTTGAGTGTGTATGTATCATCTGTACTGTCTATGTTGATATTTGTGTGCGTGTGTATCATATGTAGTGTGTTATGCTGATATGTGTGTGTGTGGTGGTGGTGGTGGTGGTGGTGGGGGGGGGGGTATCATCTGTACTGTTATGCTGATATTTTTGTATGCATTTATCATCTGTAATGTTTTATGCTGATACTTGTGTGTGTATGTATCATCTGTACTGTTCTATGCTGATACTTGTGTGTATGTATCACTTGTAAAGTTTTATGCTGATAATTGTATGTGTGTGTACATCTGTGCTGTTTTATGCTGATATTTGTGTATGCATGTATCATCTGTAATGTTTTATACTGATCTAAGTGTGTGTATGTATCATCTGTAATGTTTAATGGTGATATCTGTGTATACATGTATCATCTGTAATGTTTTATGCTGATATCTGTGTGTGTATGTATCATCTGTAATGATTTATACTGATACTTGTGTTTGTTTGTATCATCTGTAATGTTTAATGGTGATATTTGTGCATGCATGTATCATCTGTAATGTGTTATGTTGATACTTGTGTGTGAATGTATCATCTGTACTGTTTTATTCTGATACTTGTGTTTGTAGGTATCATCTGTAATGTTTTATGCTGATTCTTGTGTGTGTATGAATCGTCTGTAATGTTTTATACTGATATTTGTGTGTTTGTGTGTTTAATGGTGATATATGTGTATGCATGTACCATCTGTAATGTTTTATGCTGATATCAGTGTGTGTATGTATCATCTGTTTTGTTTTATACTGATACTTGTGTATGCATGTATCATCTGTTTTATTTTATACTGATACTTGTGTATGCATGTATCATCTGTAATGTTTTATGCGGATACCGGTGTGTGCATGTATCATCTGTAAAGTTTTATGCTGATATCTGTGTGTGTATGTATCATTTGTAATGTTGGTGATACTTGTGTGTGTATGTATCATCTGTAATATTTTAGGCTGATATCTGTGTGTGTATGTATCATCTGTTATGATTTATAGTGATACTTGTGTGTGTATGTATCATCTGTACTGTTTATGCTGATATTTATGTGTCTATGTATCATCTGTAATACTGTATGTGTTATATGAAATACTGTCCAAGACATTTTTTCATAGATAAGGACAAAATATTATGATACCTTATCATGAAATAGTGTCTTGGGGGACAACGTCGGTTTGATCCTACCAACGATTGCCATGTATGCCATGCTTATTCGCCAGCTGAAGGTGTCAAGAGGAGTAACGTGTATCTCCGAGTTTTAAAAGCTGTTTAACTAAGACTGTGTTTTAGATTTTTTTATCTCAGATTTATCATTGTCCGACTTTTAAATAAATTTCATGAGAGTTCTACCTTTGGACATGCCCCCTCTGCTGAGTAGATTATTATGATTTAAAGTCAACAGATAAATATGGAAACTTACGGTTGAAAAAATACACACCGAACAGAATGGATCCCTTCAGAAAAACAGATACATTAATTTAATTTAATAATTTAAGGATTAGAACTTCCTCATGGCTAAACAATGTGTGTGTAAGTGTATATGTGAAATAATAATCTTGTGTGGCATCGATCGTTTTTCTGACTGGAACAATGCTAGATAAATAAAAAAAAGACTTACATTTCAAATTGTCTGGCTACTTCCGGTTTATGTTGATATAAATTAAGTGTGTATTAACAAGTTTTATCACTAAAATCCCTATTAAGACGGTTAAATGTAATACAATTGTATTAATTTTAAATTTGTCTGTATACGATGTATTGTGTCTTGACGGTATGCACCAATGAGCATTTAGCTACAGGTCGATATTTAACAGATAGTTATAGTTGATGGTATGATAATATTTCCATTTAAATCGTCACACCAGGGAATATAAACTTCATTAAGCTCGAATTGCACCCATAAGAGGATAAAAGGCATAATAACATATACAAATTACCAAAATGAAGATACTGCGTGTTACATGAATCCTCTTTAACAGAACATTTCTGTACAATAATTTAATATTAATGTGTATGTGCTTGAAGTTTCATCTATTTAACCTTGGACGAAACCATGATAGTGCCAACATCAAATATAACTTTTACCTGGTCTTGGTGCTAATTTAACATATAAATCATCAGAGAATTGTTTGAAGATAATAAACTGTCGATTGCTTTATTTGCACTGACCCATGACAAGATTTGTTTATAAGACTTGAGGGGAAAACCATTTTCCAATACCGATACAAGATTTAAGTGTGGACTTTCTCAAAATACAAATGCATTGAAAGATATTCTATGATATACACAGTGAAAATTGTTAACATCGACTCGAAATTATAAAACGCACTCGGACATTTCAAAGTTTCTCTTTTTTTCAGAATCTTTCCTTTACTTATAGTTGCGTTTGTCTATTTAAGAAGTGCAAACAAAATTGAAATAAATATTACAAATGTCAAGGCTAAAAATGGCGGGGGGAGAACATTCGGGCCACAAGCCTACATAAATACAAGTCATTGTTTGATCTGAGTAGTATGTGACCAGGGAAAAAGCAGCTTCATTTATTATTTAGGACTTTAATATAAAATTCTCAATTTTGATATTTTAGACTTTAATTTTCTGTGTTTTATAATTCATTTTATTTTATATTTTCGTTTCTATTTACATTTCATATCCAGGACTTAAACCAACATGCTTGAATTTTATATTAAAGTCCTGAATAATAAATGAAGCTGCTTTTTCCCTCATCACAAGTATATCACGGCTGTCATTTGGTGTCGAGACAAATGATCGTGAAAGAATAAGTGACGGCGGTCAAATCGTGAAAGATCCGTTATCAGATCGTTAATTATACCCCACGCAACGAAGTTGCGGAGGGTATAATGTTTTTGACCCGTCCGTCCGTCTGTCCGTCCGTCAGTCCGTCAGTCATTCTTGTCATCGCAACTCCTCTGAAACCACAAAACAGAATTTCATGAAACTTTGTAGATAATAAGGACATACTATGTAGATGTGCATATCGACAGGAAATTATGATTCAATTTTTTTTCTAGGAGTTATGCCCCTTTGAACTTATTGGCCTCAAAATACTACTGCAACAGTTTGTCATTGCAACTCCTCTGAAACCACACAACAGAATTTCATGAAACTTTGTAGATAATAAGGACATACTATGTAGATGTGCATATCGACAGGAAATTATGATTCAATTTTTTTTCTAGGAGTTAAGCCCCTTTGAACTTATTGGCCTCAATATACTACTGCAACAGTTTGTCATCGCAACTCCTCTGAAACCACACAACAGAATTTCATGAAACTTTGTAGATAATAAGGACATACTATGTAGATGTGCATATATACAGGAAATTATGATTCAATTTTTTTTCTAGGAGTTAAGCCCCTTTGAACTTATTGGCCTCAATATACTACTGCAACAGTTTGTCATCGCAACTCCTCTGAAACCACACAACAGAATTTAATGAAACTTTGTAGATAATAAGGGCATACTATGTAGATGTGCATATCCACAAGAAAATTTTAATCAGTTGACTTTTGTAGAGTTATGAGTCTTTGAACTTAGGAATCTGGTGAGATTTTGTTTGTCCAGTGACAATGTGGGGGCGTGGGGTATGTGAGCGTGCTCACAAAGGTTCTTTAATTCAATTAAATACAATTTGACTTCAAAATCTGTGACAAAATTCGCTTTATTATAAAAAGGCGGAACAATTTAAAAAGAACAAACTAGTGCGTCTGTCGAAATTCATGTAATAATCATTATCCGGAATAATTTAGAGTACTAAAGTAACGAAAAAATGCAGTACTTTTTAAGAGAATGCCGGTACCAAAGGCGACACGTGCGAATTGATAAATAAAAAAACACGTTTTATGGTCTATTATGGTCACATATATTTTGAAACTAAAAAGTTAATGTGTCGAATCGTACACGTACTGTTACTGTTTATTTTCAGTTTATTTAAGAAAATGAAGTATTTTGATCGTGAATGATCAGGCAATGCATTATTTTGATCGTAATTTCTTTTCCCGGTTTTGCCAATCCCTATGTTTGGATTTAGATATTAAGAAGTTCATGTTGGGAGTTCACAGAGACATTGTGTAAACACGGGATTACATTGTATTATATTGTGACAACATTTGACTATAATTTAAAAAAAAAGGTGGAAGAAATCAAAGTAATATTCAAACCTACCCGTTACGTTTGCGCGAAATTATTCTACGTTTGAGCGAAACAAAAATACGCTTACACAACAAAAGGCATTACGTTTGAGCGAAAAAATTACGTTTACACAACAAAAGGCATTACGTTTGCGCGAAAGTCCCGCGTTAAAGAGTAAATTTCTACGTTTGCGCGGATTATTAGATTAAAATTTCAAATAACCAAAATTGTATTGGAACTCCTTGTTTTATAGGTCATCTTATACATGTGAAGGATTAAGCTCTACTCGCCAATTGTACATTCATATATAATCTATATTTGAGATAGAGTTTAGTAATACCATCTCTTAGACAAGTTAATATGCCTTTTTTTTTGTCAAAATGTTGACATATTGTTTTCTCATTAAAACCATTTATTTAAGACAAAAATCACAAAATGCTTATTCACAAAGATGTCGTTTTCAAACTTAATCTTTTACTCAAAGTTAAAAAAAAATTGACTGCAAATTTGATTCATATACATAGTCTGATAAAAAAAAAAAAATTGAATTCCTTAGCAGATATATTGGCATTCGGTTTTTGTCTTTTTGCGCAAAAATCCTTATGATCCCTTAAATAATTTGACCGTTTTTTTTTTATCACTTTCCAACTTTGTCAGATTTTCTGAATCATATGCACTAACTTTGCAAATGACTGTTTTTCATTGAATGATTTAACAGTTTTCCTTTTTTTATGATAAATTCGAGTTCAAAGTTGGCTTTCGTTACTGTTTTACTAGAAGAGTACATATATCATGCACAACATAAATCAAATAGCACAATGCTATGCAAACGCAGTAAAAATTTACAGATATAAATTAAATAACATCAAATGAATGCGTCAATTCAACATTTACATAGCACCCTATTGAGCATTACAAGTCCCGACCGTGCGAGACCCTCATGGGTAGTCTAGGTCGTTTAAAACCCCCTAGTAGTAGCATTACAAGTGGTGTGTATTACAAATTTGAAGTGTTTATGATTTCTTTATTGCAGATACAATGTAGTTAATCATTTATATTTACTTAAAAATCCCTTTGATAAAAAAAAACTATGACTTAGTTATAGTAACAAATGCTTTTAAAATGCTTTGTATTTGATGCTGAATCACGTGGTCAAGTTAGTTACTAGTATTTAAGCACTTCTTTGGTTGTAGATCTAATGATAAGCGGGAGTTGTTCGTCAGTTTATTGTAACTTTAAATACTTTGGTAAATGTGCCTTTTCACCAACATTCTATGTAAAAAAAATGAACATTATGTATTATTTAAAAGGGCAACTGAAAATGAAACTCCAAGATGATTAGTCCCACTAGGAGCGTATATAGCCGAAAATAAGTGTCTTTAAATCTAATGATTATAAAAGCATTGGCAGGTCATCGCAGAGAGGAAGGGGTCTGGGTTGAAAAAAAAATAGTTGATATGTGCTCAGCTGCACTTTTTTGCGTAAAGGTTGAGACGACCCTGATATGCACATACTTTAATAATGATTAGTTGTTAAAGAGAGCGTCCTTCGTACGTACAATGATATACGTACCAACTTAGGTGGTGTAATTACTATGACATGGGATATGATACATTTTTATTTACCAATAATAGAACAAGTATTTCAGTGGGGAAAAAAATAGTCTAAGTGAACAATGTGTAGTACAGGTGTCTCCTCGGAACCGATGTGTAGTACAGGTGTCTCTAAGAGACCATCTGTAGTACGGGTGTCTCTAAGGGACCAATGTGTAGCATCTTTGACTCTAGGGTTTTAGATGGGTAGTACAGGTGTCTACAGGGGGACCACTGTGTAGTACACGTGTCTCTACGGGACTAATGTGTAGTACATGTGTCTCTTAGGGACCAATGTGTACTACAGGTGTCTCCAGGGGGACCAATGTGTAGTACAGATGTCTCTTAGGAACCAATGTGTGCACAATGTCTCTAAGTGGACCAATGTGTAGTACAGGTGTCTCTACAGGACAAATATGTAGTACAGGTGTCTCTTAGGGGCCAATGTGTAGCACCCCTGACTCTAGGGGAACAAATGGGTAGTACAGGTGTCTCCAGGGGGACCACTGTGTAGCACACGTGTCTCTACGGGACTAATGCGTAGCACCATTCACTCTAGGGGGACAAATTGGTAGTACAGATGTCTCTACGGGATCTCAAAGAAACAAATGAGTAGCACAGCTGCCTCCAGAGGGACAAATGGGAAGCGCAGCTGACTGTAGGGTCAAATGAGTAGCACAGTTGTCATCAGAGGAACAAATGAGTAGCACAGCTGTCTCCAGAGTGACAAATGAGTAGAACAGCTGTCTCCAGAGGTACAAATGTGTAGCATGGCTCTCTGAAAGGGGAACAAATGTGTAGCAAAGCCGAGTCTATTAGGGAGGACCTATTGAAAAAGATCCGGAAACTAATCTTGTCTTAGCCATGTTAGAGCAATAAGAATTGTCTTGCAATAATCATCTCTTATCATGTACACAATTTTGTGGAGAAGTTAAAAAGGTGGGAAGTTGTAGTTGAACATCCATTTCCAAGAGAGAGTCATTGCATCCACAGCCCATGCCTTTTGATCTGGGTTGGATGAAAAGTA